AATCTAAGCACTATACCCAGATGTACAGACACTCGTTTCTCAACCTATGTATTATATAATTTTAACATTAACTTTAATAAAATTTTTAGTTCTTACCTTGCAGCCTCTGCTACTGTACTTAAGGAATATGCATCCAATAAGATGTACAGTGCAGAAACAAATGCTGTAGCTGCTGTGGGAAGGCACACTTAACCATTTGTAGTTTTACTAAATTACTTGATCAAGAGCATTCAGTGCTGTAGGCATGGTGGCTATTTTTCGGAAGGGTTTCCCTGCATTCTGAGATATGAAACATCTGCCTTTCACTGACACTTACTATGAAACATGGGTTCCAAATGTTCTTGTAAGACTATAAAGTGGATAGAGCAAGTCCTGTAAAATGATTATCCACATCGCATATAACGAGTATCTAGACAATTCCAGCCACTGTAAACTAAATAACTGGAAAAATATTAGCATCATAACTTCCCATAACACTTTAGTGGATATAGTGTCTTATAAAGGTGTAATACAGACAGGAGCTCTGTTTAAGACATCTATAAAAATTTACTGGACAGCTAGTGAAAACCGGTAATACTTCAGAGATCTGATGCACATAAAGGGCTCTATCTCAGGGCTTGGCTACACTTGCAGCTGTAGAGTGCTTTAAGTTAAAGCAGCCTTCGGAGAGCGCACTAGGGAAAGCGCTCCAGTCTGTCCACACTGAGAGCTGAAAGCGCACCGGCGTGGCCACATTTGCAGCACTTGCAGCTGCATTGGGAGTGGTGCATTATGGGCAGCTATCCCAGCGTTCAAGTGGTTCCAACGTGCTTTTCAAATGGGGGTGGGGTGGAGTGTGACAGGGAGTGTGGGGGGAGAGAGAGTGGGTTTTTGGGGTGCTGAGAGTGTGTCAGCATGCTGTCTTGTAAGTTCAGACCCTCTTCCCTCCCCCGCCTCTCTCACTTACTCAAAGCAAATATTAGCTGTTTGTTTTTTTTCTCGGAGCAGCCAGCACTCCGAAACAGAGCTTTGAAAGGGCACTTCCGCGTCCCAAGTTCACAACAAAAACAAGAGAGGCTACTTCAGTCAAGGGGATTATGGAACGTTTCCAGAGGTCAATTAGAACGTTGTAATGTTACTTCTCGTTTACACAGGCACTGAAGCGTCTGACCCAATACGCAACAGCTGTTAATCCTCTCGGGGAGGTGGAGTACCAGGAGCGCTCCAGCCAGGGAGTCAGAGCGCTCTACGTGTCTTGCCACTGTGGACGGGGAGTAAGGTAGAGCGCTCTGAGAGGCTTTATTGCGGTATAATGTGCAAGTGTAGCCAAGGCCTACTCTTTTTGGAAAAGTCCTATAGAGGACTAGGAAGTTTTAGACCCGTATTACAGAATTTATAGCAGGATAGAATTCTTTATTAGACTCCTACAGTGTGGTTCAAGAACTCGAGAGAATTTCTTTCCTGAGAATTACTTTTAGAGTACCTACAACACAATTGGTTTCACCAATTTATAAATTCTATGGGGCTGGAAGGGATAATCTCTTAACTATAAAATATAGTGTTGGGAAAAATTCAATCTCTTTTCCAGCTCTGAGGGCCCACATCTAAAATAAGCAGTAGACTCATACCTAAAAGAGAGGCTGCCAGATGTACTCCACTTAGGAAGGAACAATCAGTTGCACACATACAAAATGGGAAATGGCTACCTAGGAAGAAGTACTGCGGAAAGGGAACTGGGAGTCATAGTGGACTCTAAATATGAGTTAACAGTGTTGAGCAAAACAAACAAACAAAAAAAGTGAACATCATTCTGGGATGTATTAGCAGGAGCGTTGTAAGTAAGACATGAAAAGTAATTCTTCTGCTCTATTCCATGCTGATTAGGCTTCAACTGGAGTATTGTGTCCAGTTCTAGGTGCCACATTTCAGGAAAGATGTGGACAAACTGGAGAAAGTCTAGAGAAGAGCAACAAAAATGATGAAAGGTCTAGAAAACATGACCTATGAGGGAAGATTGAAAACATGGAGGAAAGGGAAGGAGTGAAAGAGACTGTAGGAGGGGGGTGAGTTAATGCTGTTCTGTTGATTAGAGAGAGGCTAATATCCAGAATATTGTGTAGGGCGATTCATACCCACCCACTACGTTCTGGCCAACAAGGGAAAGCAAATCCTGCACTGTTACCTCCCCAAACTCACCTCCTGCTCCCATTACGCCTTCTTCTCAGCCTCTGCTGCTTCTGATTTCCAGCTACCCCCTCTGACCTCTGTGGGACAGTCCACCTGGGTTTCATGATAGAAGCCCCCACTGTGTTTGCCTGCTGAAATCCTTAAATCCAACCCTGGCCTCAGGAAGTCCTGAAACAGCACAAACCTCAGGCTTGAGCTGTGACCAGCGGGGAGGGACGGAGAAATAGGGACAGCGGTGGGGGGAAACAGGCACACAGTTACAGAGGAGAATCATCCAGACCCATCAGCAACACAATTTGGATAGTGGGGGTGCTGAGAGCTGTTGACCCAAACGGTAAACCCCGTATAGATGGAAACCACTTCAAGCTAGGGGGTGCGGTAGCACCCCTAGTTCCAGCACCTATGCCCCGGGGTTAAGAGGAAGGGCGGGCTCAGCCCCCCATCCTCTGCTGAAACCAAAGCGAGCTCTCCCGCTCCCCTTCCCCTGCAGTGCATGGGGAACAGCTGCCCCACCGCTCCCCCTGGACTGGTCCCCAAGCGCTCCCCCTTCCCGTGTCTAGTGACTTTAGCCCCCAATGCAGGCCCTCGAGGAACTCCAGCAGTCCCCAGCGGTCCTTGCTCCGCGGCAGCCGGTGCACGGCGGGGCTGCGCTGGCACAGCGTGGACTGGAGCAGGGACTGGCTTTGCCCATCGGCTCCGCCTGGCAGGACGCAGTGGCAGGGCCCGGGCGCTGCCCAGGGGACCGCTCCAGCGGCAGGTGCGCTGGAAGGAGCCGTGCTCGGGCGCAGCCAGCCCGGCCTCCTTTCGCGCAGTCAGCTCCCCCGCCCCGCCCCGCCGGCGTTGATTGGAGCTGCTGCCTTCCCAGGATGACTTCATGGCAGCCCCCGCCCCGGCGCGCCGCTGAATGAAGTGTTGGGGCGTCGGGAGCAGGCGAGGGGAGCGCAGCCCGCCAGGGGACACATCCGGCCAGCCGCGCCCGCTGGGGAAGGGGGAGCCATAGGAAGGCGGCGAGCAGACGCTGGACAGCTGCTGCCAGTGTCTTCTTCCAGCGCCTCTCCCAGGGACAGCCGCCGCCGCAGCCTCCATCGCTGCCTCCTCCTCGGGCTAACCGCTGCCTGCGCTCCGCCAGCGCCAGCCGCCTCGGTGCTTGCATCGCGCCCGGGGCACCGACCAGGGCAGCCGCCTCGGTGCTTGCATCGCGCCCGGGGGCACCGACCAGGGCAGCCGCCTCGGTGATTGCATCGCGCCCGGGGGCACCGACCAGGGCAGCCGCCTCGGTGCCTGCATCGCGCCCAGGGGCCCCGCGGCAGGTGCCTGCCCATTGCTCTCCGCCCGTCCCCGGAGCAGCGAGCAGCGCCCTCCTCCCAGCTCCCGCGGGGAGTCCAGCAGCCTCCCGCGGGCGGGGCTGAGCCCCTCCGCCTCCCACCTGCCCGCCGCCGCCGCAGCCCCAGTCTCGCCTCCCCGAGGCTCCCGCAGTAGCCAAGACGCCGCGGGCCGTGCTCCGAGTGAAGAATGGGGCGTCGAAGCTGCCCAAGCCGCAGGCGGCGGCCGAGGCCCCCGGCAGCGCCCCCGGCCCCGGACTCTTCATGGAGCGCTCGCAGAGCCGCCTCAGCCTGTCCGCCTCCTTCGAGGCCCTGGCCATCTACTTCCCCTGCATGAACAGCTTTGACGAGGAGGACGCGGGTAAGGGGCCCGGCCGTGGGGCGGGGAGCCTGGGGCGCTGGAAGGGTGTCAGTGGGGCAGGCGGGGGTGTAATGCACGAGGAGGATCAGGAGGGTGCACAGGGGGGGAGAGCCTGGCCCGAGAGATGGGGACCATGCCTGGGGGGAAGGTACCGGAGATTCTGCATGGGGGCAGAGGGACCTGAGGGGCATCAGCGGAGGGCAGGGAAGAGAGAGGGGCTGTGCCTCCGAGTCCAGAGGGGCTGTGAATGGAGAGAGGGGGAGGCGGCTAACACATGAATGAGGGTGGGTGGGTGAGGTAGTCAGTGAATGAATTAATGGGGGAGGGCCCGATAGACCTGGCAGAAATAGTGAGGTAGCTCAGGAGTGTGTGTGTGGTGGTGGGGAAGAGTGAATGAGAGTTCTAGGGGGGGTTGTGTGTGTGTGTGTGTATATATATATATATATATGTGTGTGTATATATATGTGTGTGTGTGTGTGTGTGTGTCTCCCACCAACCCTGGAGCTGTGCTGTAGAAGCACTGACGCTAAAGAGGAGTGAGTGCAGCTGGTGGCTGTGACTCTTTCGGCCATGGGGGTGGAAAGGCTAGAAGATTTGCTGGCTTTTAGCAGGCGATTGTGATGTGTTGGCTCTAGCCCTGCCTGGCTCAGCTGAGGGGTTGGGGTGTGACAGAGACCCATCCACTCATTGCCTTCCCTAAGCCACCTTCCAATGGCTGCCCAGTGCCCCAGCACATTTTGCGTATAGTGAGACATGGGGTTAGGAACCTGCATTAGGGTGAGGGGATTAAAAAGAGATTTTTTGCATAAGAAAATGTACTTGCTCTCTTCTGGTTTACATTGAAGTCAAATGTCTTCACAAATGAATGGTGCAAGTCTTAATCCTTCTCTTATGCTCAGCTGCCTTCCAGAGAGGATGGTGGATGACGGTAGTTTAAACAGAAAAGGCATCTTCTGCTGTACATTGTGTCCAAGCTCCAAGTGCTTTTCAAAGTGAACAATGAACTCTTCAGACTAAATACACTAAACTGGTAATATTTAAACAGCTCTTTTCGAATTTAGGCGGTGATTTATCCAGATTTGCAAATATAGTCCCTGCTCTGTAGTGTAAACCAGACAAGACAGAATGCTTCAGAAGAAAGGGTAATTAATAGGGAGAAACATGAAGGCGAGAGAATTCAAGAGGTAGGATTGAACAAGAAAGAAAGATCATTGAGAGGATTCCAGGCATAGGGGATAGCATGATAGAAGGCACAAAGCTGAGTGGGAAAAGGATGTATTAAAATTAGATTACATATAGAGCGTAGGATATAAGCATGCTCTTCATACCTATCAGTTTATTATAAAAATGTGTAATGATTTGCACTGTATGCACAAGATCACTTTCTGGTAATATATTTTTAATCCCTTTTATGTGTAACAAATGTAGAGATTGTTACTTAAGAGGCACATGGGTGTTTTAATACCTACCATCTTGGCTGCATCTCTCAAATACCTGTCTTGTAAATTCATCCCAAGAAATGCAGCTCCCCACAAGAATAGATGGGTACATGTGCAAGTGAGAGGTCACACATACAAAATGATTGTTTTTAGAGGAATCAAAGTAAAAATAAATATATAAAAGTCAGAAGTTATTAACTTCTATCAGCATGCAAGTCAAGTCTGGAGGACAGGAAGGAGGTTTTAGCATCCTCCAACTGAATATATTTTAATATGTTTAAAATCCTGCATAGAAGAAGAGGTGTGAGATATCAACAAATTATTTATTTGCTCTTCATATTCAATTTGATTGTGACAACTGGAGGGCCATGCAAGGCAGTAACAGGAGCTTTGAGAAGTCTGTATTGTTGCTTCAGAAATTATTTGTGGTGAGACACTTTGGAGCCCAAGAACCTGACACGTTGACTTGAACAGATATTTCCTCACTGAAGGGCTGACTCTGTTGGGTCTGAGAAGACTGATCCTTTAAGTGAATGCTTCTTCCTATTCCAGCATCTAAAGATATATGGTTGTAGTCAGAATTTTATTTACTTGATCTCATTCCTGAACAATCACTCATGAATGTTTGTATTCCAGCCTATAAAAAGATGTCTTTGAATTCATGAAATCTACAGTTATGGCCTCATCCTTCAAGCACTTATTACTGAAGCACTGCTTACTATCCTGAGTTAGCCCCATTAATCTTAATGTAACTACTCAGGGTAGGAGGCATTATGCTTGGTAATAAGTATTTGCAATATTGTCCCTTATTTTGGAAATATGAATTTGTATTCATATTTTTATGAGCACTGCAGCTATTTCTACTGGTGGTTTCAGAAAGGGAAAAAAAGTAACATTTTGGATTGCTGCCTCTTTCACAAAAAATACAAATAGGCATAAATAACAATTTTTGTAGGACCATACGTATTTTGTGGAAATAAAATAGAGAAATCCTAAATAATCACATTGTGACAAATATGAGACTAACATTTAGATTTAAGCAAGCTTCTGAAATTCACAAGATTCTGACCAGATCTGATTGCATTCTGAATTCTAATTAAAAAAAAAGATCTGACACACAGCACAGGGTAATGGATACTGCATTTGGCAAAATATCATCTGTAGAAGATGGCAACAGAAAAGAAGAGATTGACCCCAGGATATGAAGAAGGGGGCAATGCTGACAGAGCAAACAATCCAGTTCTGATAAATTTATCATCCATTTTGAGTGAAGATGAGACTCTCTGCTATACTAAAAGGGAGCCTTCTTAATGAGGAAGAAAAGTTAATAAATGGCAAAGTTTAAAGGGAACTTGACATACTGTATTCCAAAGGAGAGAAGGCCCTTGACCCGAAATCACCATCAAGTTTTCTCACTTGGATCAGATTAAAATAATTGGGAAGGAAATTTTGCTAGAGCTGGCCTGGCTTTCAACACAGCGTGAAGTGGAAACATAAATGGCATTACTGAACCTAAGGGCACCTGCATTGCTAGCCTGAACTGATTGGCTAGAGTTAACACCGGGCTGGAAAAGGGGCTAGATTTTGAACTTGGTAGGTAATAACCTTTAAAAAATGCTTTTAATTGCAGAAGATCTCCCCTCCTGACTTGGGCCTCATTTTTCTTTGCTGTCCATGGTCTTGGCATCAGCTGATTTGCTTTCACATCTCTTGTGTCTGCCAATATGCCAATAATTCCTAGGCTGCACTCTTCTGATGTTTCAAAGCCTCTGCTGACTTCTCAGTGGTGAAATGGGTACAGAAAAAGCCTCAGTCCATACTAGTCTATGCAGGGGCAGAGGGGTCAGGGTCCACAAGATGCAGACAGACGTGCAGAACTTCTAGTAAGGAAACTGATCTCTCAACTAAATGGTCCCTGAACTACATCCTATGCCAGGGAGATTGACTGACCTGCAAATATGCCCTTCTGCAGGTTTCATGGGTCTGAAAAGGTGTGAGGTAGGAAGTGGTGCTGAAATTTGCATTACTAAATGGTATCAATAGCTGAGGAGTAGCCAGACTGATCCAGAGAAGGATACCCTAAATGAGCAACAGGGTCTTTTCACCATTAAGATATAGCAGTGCTGTAACCTGGAGAAATTACTGTCTAGAGCAGGGGTTGGCAACTTTTCAGAAGTGGTGTGCAAAGTCTTCATTTATTCTCTCCAATTTAAGGTTTCACGTGCCGGTAATACATTTTAATGTTTTTAGAAGGTCTTTTTTTCTATAAGTCTATAATATATAACTAAACTATTGTATGTAAAGTAAAGTTTTTAAAATGGTTAAGAAGCGTCATTTAAAATTAAATTAAAATGCAGAGCCCCCCGGACCGGTGGCCAGGACCCGGGCAGTGTGAGTGCCACTGAAAATCAGCTCACGTGTTCCCTTTGGCACGCGTGCCATAGGTTGCCTACCCTGGGTCTAGAGTAAATAGCATAAGAGCTATGGGTTACCAACTCTTTTAAACCTAATAAATGTAACTTTCCTGTGCTTTATATTGGTCAAGTGTAGCAGTCCTCATTCAGTCAAAATTTCCATCCATGTCAGTGGGGACAAGAACTTCAAACCAGGGGTCTTCATTATTAATGGTCCTGTATCATCATTATAATTGAGGTGTCTGTCCTAGCTCTGTTCATTGTACAATTATAAAGCAATAGACCAAAAAAAGCTAATAGAATAAATTATAGTGAAGCTTGAATTTTCACATTTGTGCATGGATATAAATGAGTACGTTTGCTCATCTCTATCACAATTTTACACCTGCTTGGAATGTCTTTGAAGCTAGTGGAATTCATTGTGGTAACAGCCGTCTAAAACATACACAAGCAGTAATTTGAAGGATTGGGGCCTTACTTTGCATTTACCTTGACCGCAAACACAATCATGGTCACGGTACATGCCAATTAAGTGCATAAGCGTGGGTGCATTTTTATGTGCTCATCTTTGAAAATGTGAGCCTTAATCCAGAGCATACACTTAGTAGTATCAAGATAGAAATCTTAATTGTACTACAACATGACAGTACATTTTTCCTGGGATTGGCTGAAATCAAACATTATGTATCTTTGTATCCATGTAGCAATCTGTTGCAAGAGCCTGGCTTGCCAAATGGTGAACTAACGTAAGTGTACATGAGTTAAAAATAAACCTTGCCGAGGATAGAATAAAGTACCCAAATTAACTTTGACCAAGAGACAAAATGGTTGCCGCTGTTAAAATGTCACTGTCTCCCAAAATGTTGGTAAATCCTGCCCTCATTTACACAGATGCCAGCTCAGGAAGCAGTAGAGTTATCTGTTTCTTAAGACAACCAAGTCCAAGCAACTATGGTGCTGCTGCTTGTACACAATGTCACAGAGTGACAGCCATTATTCTATTACCAGCATGTGCTTTGAAGAGAAGCTAAATGAAATGTTAATTTAATGGAGCTGTAAAAACAGAGTTAAGACATATTGGACTAGAGTAACGTGATTGCTGTGGGCTTGTGGGGAAGTCTGTAACGTCTTTGTCTGGATTGGGTCG